CCCCAAAACCCCAAAACCCCAAAACCCCAAAACCCCAGTAAAATATTTTAAATTGAAATTTTAGAAATTTGGAGCCCATGAACGAGAAGGTAAACGAGATTAGGAAGAAGAGGAACCAGGAAAGACAGCCTACGAATGATAAGCTAGATTGGTATAATTTTGAAACCAAGATCAGGAAATTAATCCATGTAAGTCGAAACAACTGGGCTTAACACATGTATTGGATATTTTAGCATGAAAATTTGGGATAAAATGAACAATTTTAGGAACTGATACAACCAACTGTTGCTTCAGGGATTGAGGCTAACGAATCCATCACGAAAGTGACATCCAAAGCAGAGAATATGGAAGAGAGGTGATATTTAAGCTCATTTTTAGAATTTTGAAATTAGAATCTGAACTTTGGAAAACTGAGAAACAAAATACAGCATATCATAGGCTTGAGCAACGCCTAAATGATCATGACTCAGCTTTTGATAAGATCAAGGAAGAGGTTAAACAAGAAGTTGGGAATTTAGAAAAAGCTGATGCTCAAATTAGGTATTTTCAATCCAAATCTGTTCTAATTTCTTAAAGAACTAAGATGAAAAACGCTAAGGAAGAAGTGAATGAGATTGTAAAGGTCAACGGTAAGTCATCTCTAACTTTGTAGAGAGACTCACTGAGTCAATTTCAAAGATCAAGGATGATATCATTAATCATGTTGACACCTTAAACAAATCTATTAACACAGGTGTTCAAAGTAAGTTGTAAAATTCATATGATTTTAAAATTATCTAGATATTGAGGATGAAATTCAAGATATTAGATTTAGTATTTCTCTTCTGCAGGAATCCAACAAGAGCATTAACTCTTCACTCGCGACCCAGAGAGAGCAACTGGCAGCTCATGAGGCTTCTATTGACAACAACATCTCTAAAAATAAGGAAGCACTGGTAAAGATAGAGGGAATCCAAGCAACAGTGTGCTTAAAGTAACTTTTCGCCTTAAATTTTGTAGAGAAGATTTTGAGAAAGCAGTCGAAGATATGAAATCAGAAGCTAAAAATTGTATTTATTCCCTCCAAGATGTCAGCTCTAATCTTGAAGAGACAGATTTGTATATTGAGAAGTACCTCCCAGTAAGAACACAGGAGATGATAAACGAGTCCTTTAAAGAATTAGCTCAATCAGATCTTGAGAAAGAAAGGATCTGCAATTATGAGGTAAAGAGATACAAAGAGCTCCACAAAGCTATCATTAACATGCCTGAGCTGAATCTGAACAAGAAGCCTACGCTTCCTTCTGTCCTTGAGATGGAGAAGGCTTTGAGTGAACTTAAGAAGAGAAACCAGCTTATCAAAGCCCATTCGCCTAAGGCAGAAGATGAAGAGTTCAAATCATTTTAAAATTCAATTAGATATTATGGATTAGGGGTTTTGGGGTTTTGGGGTTTTGGGGTTTTGGGG